GGCAAACTGTGGGGTAGAGCCGGGAAGCCAATACGGAAGTGCCACACACTGCAGTTCATATATTGGCCGATAGGCGATGGCTGCAGAAAGGAGCAATTTCCATAGACCCCCCATGTTAAAAGGCCCGATTTTCCAGCAGAAAAAAAACATGTTTCTACCCCTGGCTCCATACATTTTATTATCGATATAGTTAGATTCCACCTTCATGATTATGGATCTGTGAGTGAATTGTTTTCTAACGCGACCCTTTATATTTATATTAAGTCTTAAAGTTGTGCATACATTAGGGCGTGGTCACTTTGATTGCCAGATACGTGCCTCACTGTCAGCTAACAGCAACTTGTCCAATCTGCTAGGCTACAACCATAGAGGCTACAACGTTAGTTAGTTTGTAGTTACTGTAATTGATCCTTTAGCTGTGTTTGTGGTGATCGTGCCTGTTAGGGAATATTGTTACAAATACCAGATAATTAAAATGTTGTGCTGTGCGCTTGAATGTACTAACAGATCTTCCAAGAAGTCTACTTTCAGCTTTTTCGGTGAGTAAAATGATAATATTATACATGTTAACCCTGTTAGCAGGTGTTTGTGTGCTTGTTAGCTTAGCCTGTTATGTAGCTTATTAGCCAGCTAAGGACGTAACCCTTTATACATATATACAGTTTAGTTTATGATTCAGCCCTTGGGTAAGACTTTTATACTATATGGGCTATGACGCCCATAATGCTAAACGGGAGCAAATGTTAAAAGGGGATGGGCCGCCGGAGTCCACGCCGCCGAAGCTAACGGGGCTGCAGGGTGCTAGCTCGCTAGCGCGTCCCGGCGGCCGTAGCTAGCACCCTGGGGCTCCGTTAGCTTTGGCCAGCGGCGGAGTCCGGCGTTATAACTGGAGATTAAGGAATGCATCGTAAGGCGGACTTGGTTCGCCTGCAGCCCGCTGTAGTATTAGCTAAATAAATGATGTTGAGCAAGGCTTATTAAGCTGAACACCGCCACAATTATTCTGCTATGTATCGGTACTTATTTTATTACGTGTGAATGACAAGCATTAAGAATAATACCAAATAGCTAATTATCTTGCAGATTGTCTCGTTTGATTATGAATGTAACGTTTATATAGTGGAACTACACTGTTTTATCAAAACCAAAGTGCCACGCAGTGACTTGGTATGCATGTATTTCAGCAGGAAATGTGCAACCTAGATGACATTTACCAACACAGACTATATAGTAAAAGTTGTTCATGCGTTACTAAGTGAATATGGCATTAACCCTCCTGTTGTCTTCGGGTCAAATCTGACCGATTTACTACTTTCATCAATCATGTTTTACATTCGATTGATACCGAGAGCATGTTAGCTTAGCTTCTTAGCCTGAGCTAGGACTCAAACGTCACGCTCGTTGGCAGCAGGTCCCGCCCTGTCCCGCCTCGGCTCCGCCTCAGCTCCGCCTCCGCCTCAGCTCCGTCTCTTTGCCCTTATTTGGAGAAGGCGGGAGAAGGCGGGAGTTAGACTCTGACGACACCGTCGAGCCGTTAGAGGCCGACTCCGCCTACTAAGGGCTTCACGGCAACTCTGCAGAATCCTATGGGTGACGTCACGGACCCTACGTCCATTTATATATACAGTCTATGGTTTAGTCAGAGTGAGAGTGCTTGAGTTTGGGTACACATCTTTGCCAGGCGCACCCACCCGTGGAAAGACGAAATATGACAAAACAGTTAAAGTGTGAACCTCCAGCACAGGGGGGGGTGCCATGAAGAAGGCCGAATATGGATGCTGATGGGCGGACGGTAGATCACCACAAAGGGTTTCCAGGGGCATGATGTTCTGTAGGGTGTGAACATCTGGGTTTAGTCCATGGGGGAGTGCTTAAGTCCGGGGGCCCGGGGTCTCACGGTGTGCGATGTTATGGAAGTGCGCATGTTAGGGAGACATTCTGGAGCTGCTTAGTCCGTCCTTTGGGGGCTCTGTGAAGGGCCACGGAGAGGTGGTTTTCGCGGTCTGTCTCCTGGAAGTGTGACAAGAAACCTGTTTAGCCCACAATTCCTGGAGTTTCCAGGTCGAATTTGGGAGCTAATGGCGCATTTCCACTGCAACGGGGTAGCCCCGTTTAAGCGTCCTCGCTCAGGCCTCGGGCTGCCTCGCTGGCCGTCCGATGCCGTGGCGCATTTCCATTACAGTTTAGGACCTGGGGTAGCAACGCAGTGTAGGCGGGGCGATCGGCTTTGTTTTTGTTCACATTTCGAGTTGTTCCGTCGAGCTCCCGCTGGATTTGATCATCCCCCAATGAGATGTAAGGAACGTCGTCACCTCCTCGGTCGACCACGGTGTGCTTTTCTTATTAGACGTAGCCATTTGTGTAGCTCATCCGTTTACAAAATGCTGTTTATAAAAATGCTGCAAGCTTGCTTCTAAATATATATGCGACGCTAGGGATGAACTCGCAAGCGATCTTGTGACGATTCTCTCTGGCCAATCAGCAGTCGAGAGTGTTGACGTCACTAGTTCAGCCCTGGCCCTGGTCTGAGGGAACCACGATTTTATGGGGCCGGAAAAAGAGGGAAAAAGTACCCGCTAGCCGGTACTAGGCTATATGGGAAAGGCCACCAAAAAACTGGCCTGGCCGCTTGAGGACGCTTAAATGGGGCTACCCGCTGCAGTGGAAATGCGCCATAGTAGGCGGCCTGGCATGCGCCCCCACCAGTGGAAAGCAAAAAAAAGTAAAGAAAACAGTCAATTAATATCTTAAAATAATCAAAAATGAAGTTTTAAAAAGTAAAGAAAAAACGACTGAGTGCCAACGGAGGAGGGGCTCCAAAAAGCGCAAGTCTTCGGCGCTTCGGGCTGAAGCCCCGGACACTTTTGCACTCCCCCGTTGTTTACAACGGAGTGGTAAATCGAGACCTCCCCTCCTCCGTCAAAAAAATTAATTCATGTTTTTGAAGTTACCATCTGCACGAATCGGAAACCCGGTTTTTGAGAGCACTCAGAAAAAAACCGGCTGTTTCACATCATGGAGGAATGTGTCCCGCTCCATGATCACTTTGGCTCGGATACAATTGTTGCCTGGAGGACCCCCAATCATGGTTCTTACCAAACTTTAAGTTTTTGAACTGGACTCTGGAGGAATGCAAGGAGAGTTTGAGGGGACTCTACCTGCATTATGAGGCACTATTTTGGGATACAAGTTCTCCATTTTCACCCCTTTTCTCTGGTTCTCCCAAAAGTTAACATGCTTTTTCTGCCTCTGGAGGAATGCAAGAAGAGTTGTCAGGGGACTCTACCTGCATTATGATACACCATTTTGGGATACAATTTCTCCATTTTCACCCCTTTTCTCTGGTTTCTCCCAAAAGTTAACTTGTACTTTTCCTGACTCTGGAGGAATGTAAGGAGAGTTGTCAGGGGACTTTACCCACATTATGATGCACTTTTTTCGGATACTTTTTTTTACTTTCATGCATCTTTCCATGGATGAATTATTTTATTTATTTAAATATTTTGGTCAATTTCACCCAGTTTTGGCCCCCGCCTTGCCTGGAGGATAGGACCGAGAGATGACAGGGATCTCTGCCCGCCTAACGAGTGCCTAAATGGGACACCTGTAAACTGGAGAGATTTGACATGGGGTCTCTCCAGTAGCTGAGTGCCATTTTCTTGAGTCTTTTCAGGTTTCCTTCTCTGTCACTGGTTCTATTAATTCCTTTTACCTGGTACACTTCCCTGTACCGAGTGTCCACAGATGGCCCGTTTATCCACACACATTGGCACAATGCTCCGGAGGAAACAGCCGAGAAATGACAGTGTTCTCTGCCCGATTAACGAGTGCCTAAATGGGAAACCTTTCGCACGATGATTGCTGTAAAACTGGAGAGATTTGACATGGGGTCTCTCCAGTTCGCTGAGTGCTATTTTCTTGAGTCTTTTCACGTTTCCTTCTTTGTCCCCCCCGGTTCTATGCATTCTACTGGGGACACTTCCCGGTACCGAAATGCTATGCCTCGTGCACGTGGTGTGACTCTGATCACCAGGTACTATGAATTGAGACCAGTGGTCCTTTGTTGGAATGAAGGTGGAGCCCCCCACCGACGCAATATACATCAACTATATCTATTCAATGGATTAAACAAAACAATATGTTTCATCCATACAGATAGAATGGCGAGCGAATGTCCGATCTGTAAGAGTTCCTACCGCGCCCTGAGCAAGCACCTGCAGAGGAATCATAATGTGCGTAATGCAGATGAAAGAAGAATTATTCTGTTGATGGCCAAAGGACGAACAAACATTAGGCTCCATCCCTGCATTATTGCAGGATGTGAGTACATCGGGACAAGGCTGGACCGCCACTTGGACAGAGACCACTTTGAGCTGTCCCGGGAGGAAATATATGTGGTTGTTAATAAAGTAAAAATAAAAGTGGCAAAACAGGAGCTTCGTGAACTCCGATTGACAAACCCCACAGTAGGAATGATTTCCTCTTAGGATGTGGACACTGTGGATGATGAGGTCCTGTCACAACCTCCACCCTTGTCCCCAGTGATTGAATGTGACAACCCATACTGTAAGGAATGGAGGATGGAGGCAAACACAATGAGGGCTCAGAGGGACACATATGCTGCTGAGGTGAAATCCCTGCGCTGCAAGCTGCAGCAGAGGATAAAACATAGCGACATAGGAGGGAACAGAGGGCCAAGGACATGCATGGGTCCGATGAAGAGGATGGGGAGGAACAAGAGCGGGTGTATCTAAAGAAACGACCCCGGACAGAGTCAAACGAAAAAGAGGCAGTCCAAGTCCAAAGGTCCCTCCTGCAGCAAGTCCCCCCATTCCCTCCCTGCAGCAATCCCCCATTCCCTCCTGCAGCAAGTCCCCATTGCCTCCTGCAGAAATACCTCTCAGCACAGACATCCAGCTCCTCAGAACCTGCATCCTGAGATACCGAGGCCTCGTCAACCTCCCCTCCCATAAATTCCCCCTGGTTCAGCGGCAGGGGAATATAATGCGGGACATAACATTCCCACGCATCATGGGTAAGTGTGTTGAATATGTCACAAATGCAGTTTCTGTAACACGCATGTGTTGTCATTAAAGTACTGTGTTATGTTTCACAGAGGAGTATCTGCAAGGCTACCGGGAGCATTATGAGTGCATCGACCCTACAGTCAGGCTCCAAGAAAACGCAGTCTCCAAGATAAGCCGAGTGAAATCGTTCCTAACCTTCATGGCACACGGTTTCAAGCGCCTGTCTGACTGGCTCTTTATGAGAGATTTGAAGAGGATACGTGGGTGAGTAACATCAATTACTGTCCATGATGTCAGCATCATTGTGTGTGTTCTCCACATTGACGCAATGTACTGATGCGTTTCCCTTTGCCAACAGCTGGTCCCGGAGCCTGATAACGTCGAGCCTACAGGTCACGACCTCTGACTTCTATATCAAAAATATAGCACACTTTGTCAAATACATGTCAGCCACACCATGCAAGGGTAGCAGGCTCAACCAAAATGACATGACCTTAATAACACGGGAACTTGGTGCCATCCTGAAGTCCCTGAGGAAGAAGGTGGTTATCCACCAGATGCAGGTGAAGCGGGACAAGATGGAAGGTCTGCCGAGCCATAAAGACATCATCGCATGTTTGACTGCGGCCAATACTCTCATCCCTCAGCTCCTGGACGTGATGGCCAGCAATCCGACTACCGCAACCCGGCTGTTGCTCTATGGGTACCTGACCCTCCATTGGAGCTGCATCTATGGCCACCGTCCGGGGGTCTACTCGAACATGACCAACGCCGAGGTCCGAAAGGCGGAGACAACTGGCACTGCCTTTGGCTACCTCATCCACGTGAGTGCTATTTTTAAAAAAAGAAAAAAATAAATAAAAAAAAAAAGTGTTTATTCTGGCAGTGATAAACATGTTGTGCATGATTGATACTTGTATTGACGCTCTCTACCTCTGTCATAACAGGTAAGCAACCACAAGACGGCCAGCGCGTTCGGGGAAAGCGCAGCTATACCTCACCATAGAAGAGTTTGGATGGATGAAGAGGTGGCTGGATATAAAGGAGACGCTGACATGGGTGAAGAGAGGGTGCCAGACTCTGCACCAACTTCACCCGATACAGACATTGTTACCAATGCACAAGCCAGTGACCAACTTGCAAATATGCAATGCGTTGTTCAAATCAGTCCCCTTGTGCTGGATGAGTGAACAATGCTATACTGTTATAAAGTGACAATGTCAATGTATATATATATATTTCTGTGAATAAAGTTTGTTAAAATTAGTTTACTTTGTCCTCTTTTTAAAAACCCACCAACAACTGAACACACATTTAGTATATATTGCTGAATGTTATTTTAATATTAACACCACAGTTGAGTTGGTACCGATGATGGGAGTGGATATGATGAGTTGGTACCGGATGATGGGGAGTGGAACAGTGGCAATAGTGAGCAGCATGAGAGGGAGAGAAATGGGTGGCAGACATCTCTATGCTGAAAATCTAGGTGTTCCCCTTTTAATATCCCCAGGGGCATGAGGTTCTGGTGGTGTGCATGGAGGGGTTTAGTCCGAGTGAGGAGTGCTCAAGTGTTGGAGGATGTGTAAGGCAGAGGAGGGTAAAAAAAAGTTAAAGTGTGACCCTCCAGCAGGGCAGGTGGTGCTGTGAAGAGAGACGAATATTGATAATAGCGGGCGGGCGGTTGAGCACCGCACAATCCACACCCTTCATGTGTTACCAGGGCCATGAGAACATCCTCCACAGTGCACAAAGTGCTCGCACCTCCATGCACACCCGGGACATGGACATGGACAGGGACAGGGATCCAAACTTAAGCACAGATCCTCTGACAAAAAACCCAAAATGAATGACTTCCATACAAGCATGCCCCTGGTCACCTAGAAGTGTCTGAATGTCTGGTAGTCACGTGTCCTCTGTAGGAAGCTTAAGGGCGGACAATAAAGTACCGCAAACTCCACCCCCCCTTTAAAGTTCCCAGGGGCACGAGGTTCTTGAGGGTGAGATCATCTGGGTTTAGTCCGTGGGGAAGTGCTTAAGTCCGGGGACCCACGGTGCGCGAGGTTACGGAAGTACGCATGTCAGGGAGAGATGCTGGAGCTGCTTAGTCCGTCCTTTGGGGCTCTGTGAGCCGCCACAGAGAGGTGCTTTTCCCGGTGTATTTCATGGAAGTCTGACATAGCCTGTTTGCAGGGTTGGGAGTAGGGGTGTTGAAAATAATCGTTTCAACGATGCATTGCTATGCGGACGTGGACGATTCGGTCTCGATGCAGTGACGGAAGATAATCGATTATAGCGTAGTAACGTTGCTTCCTGATTTTCCGGCCGCGGCTTTACTATAAACATTTTTTTTCCTGTCACTTTAATATAAATCGGTTGGTGACGCAGAGATCAGGGAACAGCGGCACAGCAACACCAAACACGGAGCAGTCTGCTTTATCCACAAACACAACACCACCAGTCCAGAACCAACAGCAGAAGGACCAGCTCTGAATCACTCCGTGTCGCTGCGGCACAGGGATTTATGTTTTTCAAAAATAATCGCGTTACAATCATGTCAGGTTTTTGGTGGATTTAATTAAGTCTTGAATTGCAAGTATGAATGTCCTCTAGCAATTTTCAGACGATACGTGTGTAAAGTTTGTGAAGGCAGGAGGAAAAAGCTTCCGCGATCATCGTCTCCTCTGTTCCTCCAAACCCCGCCCCCTCCCTGAAAATAATGAGTGACAGGCTGATAGTGACCCGATAGAAACTTTATTATTCACTTAATCACTGAGATATGATGAAGCTAATTTAATCTCATACATTCATGGGATTTATGTAACAGTAAGACAGAGAATGTAAGTGTGCACCCACATGCAGTATTTTGTTTGTATATGCTATTGTAAATACTCCTGTTGTCTGCTGTGTTCAGACTCAAGTCCTGTGTGTGATGCCACATTCAGACATTCAGTGTCCTTTTTTAACAGAAGACCGTTGCTAGAAGCTGCAGCTAGACTGCAGAAGCATTATTTTTTTGTTTTTGAGGATGGAACATTTCACACACAGATATAGGGAGGCTAGACCTATACAATTAATTTATTTTGGTTTATAAATTAATGTCAAGACATTTATGTTATTGATTTCTGAAGCACTTGCGAAATAATAAAAAGAGAGGCTCATATGTATTTACTGCATGTATGCATTGATGAAAATAAGCCATGTGCAGTAATATAGAAAATTGAGGATGCAACGCATTGGTATGAATCGTGATGCATCGGGATATCGAATTGAATCGAATCGTTGACAGGATAATCGTAATCTAATCGAATCGTGAGACCAGTGAAGATGCACAGCCCTAGTAGGGAGGGTTACTTTGTAAATGTAATCAGTTACTGATTACTGAATACATGGCTCTGAAAGTAATCCCAATACAGTTACAGTTACGTGTCTTAAAAAGTAACGTAATCAGATTACTTTTAGATTACTTTTGGATTACTTTCTTTTTCCATAACAGATGGGTATGTTTTGGTGAACAGGAGACACAAAAAGCAAAGGAAACTGAACGTGTTTTTACTGTTTAATGGCTTATGTTAAACATAACATCTGAAACGATGTAACAACATAATAAACTTGTTGGGATGCAGTTTTGGATGTGAGGAGTGAGGGACATGGCTTGGAAACGGGCGTGTCGCCTTCTGTCCTGCCAGTGTTGGCAGGACATGAATTAAAATGTCGAACTCGAACTTCATTTTAAGGACATTTCGGCCAGGGGTGTAGAGCTATATTTGTTTAAGCACCGGATTGGCAAAACAGGAGAGTGTGTGCACCAGTCCTGCCTTGATCTATGAATTCATGTCCGTGACACTCACAGTATCTGCTGCCCGCAGCTGTTTTATAGAAGGAAAACCTCCTTCACTTCATGAAATCTATGCAGCACCAGGAGGCAGCGGGAGGGTTAACTCAGCCTCTACGAGCGTGCCGTGCCTTTCACGCACCGTCTTTACCTTCAGAATCATTAGAAAGGCTAAAGAGCGGTGTGGCTGATGTGTTTTAAAAACCACACACACCTCTACCACACACACACACAGACGCACGATTTAAACGCAGACTTTTGTTCCTCCATGTTTCGTTGTTATCGTTTCATTGAGGCGGACCCGCCCCTTTTTTTCAAAACGCTTCTTTTTTGGATCATCGCTGTGATGATTCGACTGTACCTTTAGTAATGAATATTAAATGTTGTGAGGAAATCTTTCCACCAATAATTCCAATAAGTAATCCAAAATGTATTCACTTCAGGTTTACGAAAGTAACTGTAATCAGGTTACTCGTTTTTCAAATGTAACGCGAGCTGAATACAGTTACTTGATTTTTGTATTCTGATTACGTAACGCCGTTACAATGTATTCCATTACAACCCAACCCTGCCTGTTTGTCCATGTCAGGGAGAGATGCTGGAGCTGCTTAGTCCGTCCTTTGGGGCTCTGTGAGCCGCCACAGAGAGGTGCTTTTCCCGGTGTATTTCATGGAAGTCTGACATAGCCTGTTTGTTCTGTGAAATAACCTGTTTGCCCATGTCAAATCTTGCTATTAATTGATAACTTTAATAGGAATCTCTGTTTGACATATGTTCAGAATGTGCTACATTCTGAATGACCCAGTGTACACATCGTACCTGCAAAACGATGATGCAAGGCTGGGTTACGATGTGTACACTGCATGGACACAATGTTGTGCATTAAAGTATGTATAATAGACATGTATTTAAATCACTTTTACCGCTATTTAAAACCATCTTTTCCTGGATTGTAAAGTGAGTTGCTGCAGCCTGTTTGCTGTGTACACTCTCTCCCAATTTCAAACACTTATTCCTGGGTTGAAAAGCCATGTGCTGCGTGCTGCTCTCTAAGTACAGTCTCCCTCTATTTACAATACTTGTCCCCCCCTTTCAAACACTTATTCCTGGGTTGAAAAGTCAGGTGCTGCACCACCTGTGCTCTGGGTCTGTATTCACAACACTTTTCCCGACATTTCAAACAGTTTTCCGCACGTTTTAAACACTTATTTGCAATGTCTATTTCATGGACACCACTCATATGCATTCATGTACGTGATATTGACATATTATTCTGTACACTTTATGGACAACGATGTCCACTCAGTGGACATTACGCCCCCTAGTGAAATTGTCCCCGAATTACGCGCAACTTTAACATTTGATATCTCTGCGGGGAAAGCTCGTCCGTCTCCGAATTTTTTCCACGTGGAAGGCCCCTGCACTGGCTATCCATGTAGCACCCCATCATATTTTAATTGCGCTCTGGGGCCGAACAGCATGTCTGTACACTTGGCGTTCCGCGACCTGTAGTAAATGTCCACAGGGTGTACACCCATGTTCCTAATATATGTAAGTTTACTGCTTGGCTCAGATCCACCAACGTCAGCAAGATCTCACCTCTATTAACTCCCCGAAGAACCAGGTTCAATTAACTGCTGTTTCAATTCAGACAACTATCTTAAATCTGTTGAAATGATCCCGAAGGATTTTGATATCAGTAAATGAGGTGTGGCCCTACCTAAGTGTGAGTGTGGCAGGTGCAATCTTACCTTTGAAGGCAGGAGAGGAGGGCGCAGATGTCTTTTAAGTTGTCCCGTCCAAAAGGTGGGATCAGTTTATTTGAAGAAAAATAGGTCCAAACTAATTACAGGGTTTTTACCTTCTCTCGTTACAACATTATAATCATAGTAAAACCTATCATGCTGTGATCATGTTCAAATATGAAACTTTTATTCACAGTTTTACATTTATTACCGAAATTGTACTTTCAGCTGCCCAATTCAGTTGTGATTTTTAAATCTCCCGATAGAATTTAGAGGCATTTCCTCATTAAAGACCAGTGATAATAAAAAGCACATTTTTTTCACCAAATCAATTCACATAAATTCCATACCTTTTTTCCGACACAGATGGCGGGTACTAACATTCACAAACACATACCTAACCGTAGTTATTCGGAGGAAGATCCTCGTAGGTGATGGTTACTATACTCACAAACAAATCTCAATTCATTCCACTCATTCAACAAAGTAATTCACTCAGCATTCAACAAGAAGAGAGATATTTACCAAGTTTGAGAGAACCTTACCGAGAGCAAAAACCCAGCTCTGAGGGACAGAGCTAACCAAGAGAGAGCATACCAGGGGAACCCCCCCCCCCCCCCCCCCCCTCTCTCTCTCGCTCTCTCCAAAAAAAAAGTTCCTCCCCATCCGCCAGTGTCTTTATGCTC